TTTTGACAAGGTAAAGCACTGTCCTGTCCCATTTGTTCCTTCCAAGCCAGTCCTATGATGTCAACAAGCAGATATGGACTGTGTTGGGAGGGAGAGATCCTGAGGATGTGGTGTTAGAGGTACCCAGAAGACTGTGAACTTAGGGCACAGCAGGAGTCCTGGTGCCCATGGGCTCATCCCCGCCTATCGCTGCAGCTAAGACTCCAATTTCTTACAGCTTGCAGATGCTGCTGCCTGACCCAAGGAACTCTCTGCAACCCTCATATGAACACGACCCTGCTTCTGGGGGCACAAGTCCACTTCTAACACCCCTTCCACCATATAAGGAGGATGTGGGTGCTGCTGCCATGGCTCCCATTGAGCCTGACCCTTCTCTGCTCATTCAGCGCCTTCTACCTCTGGCCTCTTCTGCATCACCAGGCCCAACAGCAGCCTCCTTAGACCTTGGGTGCTCACCCACATCCCTCACAGCCTCTCAGTCCCCAGAGCCACTGCTTCCACTAAAAAGACTTTCACCCCCACCATTTACACTTCCTGTCAGCCCACCATATCGCCATGATCCTAACACATCCCCAAAACGCTGGTGGGACTCGAAAGAGAGGCTAGACCAACAGCTCGGTCCTCATCACCTTGCATATATGAAGATGTTGGGTATCCCCTTTGGGCAGACTTGGATCCAGTTCTTCTGGGGTCTGCCCTCCCTGCACAGTGAATCCTTGGTTGCTGCTGCCTGGATCTCGCAGAATCCTTCTCTGCAGACTACCCCTCTTTTATTTAACCAAATCACAAATGTAGGCCCAAATGAATTGGAAGATAAAATGTCCCCACAGCCCCAGTCCTCTCTTCACCACCAAATGCCCTCTCTGGTTCAATCCACCACCAAATCCCAAACCAGTTCTCTGCAAAAAGCCCATTCCCCAGCCCATCTGCAAGCTTTTACCCCATGCTTCCCTCCATGTTATCTTTGCCATGGCAGGGCGTATAAAGCAGCTTGGCCTGCACCCCAGGACATTCCACAACAGCTCAGCCCCACTGAAGCTCCACGCACAGGAAGGGCCTTAAGATCACAGGCCCAGAGTGAGTTGGCCTCCCAATCAATGGCCCTAGGCTCTGAGGAAGACTACAGTTCTCTCACTCCAAAGCTTTCCGAGGACCACTGGCCCTCTGCCAGCCCTCTTCAGGCTTTTTCACTTAGTCCAGAGAACTGGTACCAAGTAGCCCACCATATTAAAAAGTTGGTCATTCAATACCAGCAGAACCTGACCCACAGGATCCAAGGACCTGTAGAAGTCACAGAGCCTCAGAGTGCCACAGCTCACTCAGGAGAGAGAGAGGATGAACCTGGTCCTTCAGAGTGTTCCTCCATGTCTCCTGGTGGCTGTAAGAAGGAAGTGCAGGAGGTTAAGCTGCAGAGAGAGGACAGGAATGTGGAGCAAATTCTAGACACTGTCCGGAAAGATCCATCGAGGTCCTTGGAAAGAGGTTCAGGGAAGTTTCTGGGGGCAACATCGGCAGAGTGTGAAAGAAACCTCAAAAGAACTATGGAAGATCACAAAAATCACATAGAGCATATCTTGAGAGCACATCTGTGTGTGAAGTCAAAGCAGACCCAGGAGGGATGGATCCCTCTGAGAGTGCGCCGGTCCTGGCTTTCTTACAATGGAGCTTTGTTCACCCAGGTAGATACCAAAAATCTGAAATCCCTCAAGAGACAGGACTCTAGCGTGACCACATGCCAGAAACTCCCCTCTCTTAATCCATGTACTCTGAAGACCCTAGAGGTGCATATTACAATGATTTCGGTGAGACACAAATGGCGTCTCCCTCTCAAGCTCCTTAGGACCATACACCTCTTTAAAGAGGGAAAATCTCCACTCTCATCTTCTCAATATTCATTTTCTTCCACAGCCATGGGCATGTCCTTTGTTGACTCTAGCGTTGAACATGCGAAGTTCCTAGAACCAACACCTGTAGCAGGTCAAATCGAGGAGGTGACACTTAATGGGTCTGTCCCCACATTGGGCAGACTGCTTGTCTCCTCACCCATGTGTAAGGAGACTGTGACAGCCCTAACAGGGATCTCACCTGATGATGCCCAGGGCTCCGTAAATGCCCCTCCAGCTGGACTGGGCAACACGCAGCCTTCCCAGCAGTTGATACACAGTCCCTCCAGCATGACCTGCAAGAGCAGAAGCATGCTGGACACAGGCAGAGGCAGCCTAGAAATTTCTGCAGTGCCTGCAATGTGTGGTGTGCAGGCCAGAGCACAGCTAGGGCCTCAGCTAGGCATCGGGAAAGCATTAGAAAATACAATGAAGATACAGTTAAGGAATCAGGCCCCAATCTCTATCCCTGATATGAACATTCTGGACTCCTCTGTGGATTCAATCCAAGCTCCAAACACTTTGTCCTCTATGGCATCAAAGAGCCATCTCCACAACACAAGCCTTAAGGACATGATAAATTCACAGATGTTAGACAGTGAAAAGATCCTGGATCAACAGAAGCTTAGGATCCCAAATCATCAGCACCCATGGAAGATGGAAAAGATATGGGTCCCAAAAAACAAGGGTGAGGCCTGTAGGACACACAGTCCAAAAATACTTGAAGGCAAGGAAATCTCCACACCCAGCCAGGATGGAATTGAAGACACCATTATATGGAAAGCCACTGAGCTCCTTCCACAGAAGAAATCTGTTCCTGTGGAAGGCTACTTCCAAAGAAGGATGAAGTCATTTTTACAGTGGGTTTCTCCAAAGAAACACAACACAGGTCCTGAGGAAGCCCAGAAGAAAGCCAAGACTGCATCCTCCTCTGCCCAGAGACAGAGATTGGACAAAAGCATTCCAAGTGTGGGCTGCAGCTTTGCTGAGGCTCAACTTATCATACAAAATTCTGGGCCAATGCAGAAAACCAACCACTCACTTCAGCACCATCTTTATAACTTGCAGATAAGTCACACGAAAATAGAGAAGGGTCAAACCTCAAAATCCCATATTTCCAGCAGCCACCATCTTTCTGGGCACTTAGAACACAAAACAAGGATGGGTTTTGCAGCCACCCCCAAATGCCACATCTATTTGATCAGGGAGAGGCACATAAGCAACCAAGAGTCCCTGAATAGTGGACAGGTCAACAAAGCACAGGGCCATAAGCATTCTCACACATGTGTGGGAATGGTACCCTGCAACCAAGATGTGTTTCCAACCATTACCTCGCATCATGATCCAACAGAGCCCAGAGCATCGAGGCACCATTCCTGCCCGAGGCACCATTCCTGCCTGAGGCACCGTGTCGGTTAGGGGTGTGTCCTTTATGCTCAGCTAGAAAATTTCTCACCATCATTTCAACAACTCCAAAAAAAATTAAATATTTTATGGAATAAATTACTTCCTGGTATTCCCCATCCATGAAACTTACCATGGCCCAATAAACCTAATTTTCCGCCTACGGGGGTAATGACTTCTGTCTGCTCTGTTCTTGGTGATAACTATGGCATCTTCAGTTGAAAGGGTGTGGTGCAGCATGACAGAGAGGTGTAAACCCACTCTTACCCTGAGTTCCTCCAGGGATCCTCAAGTTTCTCTAATACCATCATTTCAGAAACAAAATGAAACTTTCACAGCTGAGGAAAACAAGATGATCCTACCACAAGGTCTGCCTCAACCATCTTCCATGGCTCCCTCTACCTTCAGGGAGAAGTAAGGATCAGGAGCTAAAAGGGTACATTTTAGGCTACAAGTTCCCCCACAGGCTCCAGCAAGGTTAGCGCCTATAGCCACACCTGTCCTAAAAGGAGTGACAGTGGGTATGGAAGGAAACTAGGGTTCTGAGGCTTAAAGATCCTGTCCTTAATGTCTTCCTAATGAATACTTGACACCTCCCCATGGGAAGCTCCTCTACCACCTGGCTAAGGCATTCAGAGATCCCACCGCAGGACCTCCTCCAATGTAGATCCTTGGTGAGGACAGAAAATCCATCACTGTGTAGGAAACCCTGTGTGGAGCAGACAGCGAGGCCGCTGAGGCCAACATCCAACTGTGCCCCAATGAATCAGTGAATGTTCCTGTTAACAGGGCCTCTACCTTGGTCTATCTCCCTTTGATCCTACAGTTGTGCGTTGTTGGAACACAAAATATCTGTGCGCATAAAACACCTTATAGGAACCATGGAGCAAGGTTGGGATGTGGGGAAGCAGGAAGATTAGAATCCAGAAAGGAAGCACAGGGTGTGAGGACACAGAATGGGACAGGAATGAGGCATGCCTGAGATTGGCCTGCCACAGACCAGCACAGAAAGCAGGAAACTATGGGGGCCAAGAGGCTGGACCTGACCCCAACCAACAGTCCCAGTTGGACAGAGGTCTCATCCCACACCTGGAGAAGCCAACTTTAGGGCAATGGCGAGCAGAAACATGCAGACAACACCCAGATATTGTGCTGACACGGCATGGGCCAGCCCAGGAAGAGTGTCTGCTCTGCTCTCACTCTTTCCCTTCCTCTGGGACAGTGTCCTTATGGGAACGCAGTCGTTACTGGCCAGGATCATTCCCAAAATATTAGGCCCTGATGTAGGGCGGTCGAGGGCTTATATAAGCAGAAAGCACAAAGGCAGAATGGACTGCAAACTGGGGACTGGTTTACACAACTTGTAAGAAGAGCGAATGGAAAGGAAACCAAAACTATTACCTGGGCAATTGACACCCTCATGTATAGTGGGTGGAGGGGCCATTTCCTGTAACATTAGCTCCCACATAGAAAACCAGAATTCTGAGGGAGAAGGCAAAATGGGAAGATTCCTTTATTAAATAGATATGATAAGCTCCTCTGTGTCCCCCTCTCCAGTGTAGAAGAGGAAGAGCTCAGGGAGGAGAACTTGATA